TGAGTTCCGATAAAAAGACAAATAATGAAATAGATTATATCTTAACGAAGAATAGAAACCTAGTAGAAGACGTATCAGTATTAAATCAGTTTGACCTAGGAAGCGATCATACACTAATAAGAACAAAACTAATAATTAACAAAAAACTAGAAAGAAAAAGAATACATGAAAAAAGATACAAATGGACATCTGAAGAAATCAAAAATAGTGAATTTAATAAAAAGATAGTGCATGCATATAATCAAGTTAGCATGCAGCAGATAAACCCCAATGATATTGATGATTTGAATAACCTTATTACCGAAACAGTGAATAAAAGCCTTCTGCAACTGAAAAAACCAAAAACAACATACAATGAATTAGACAAAGAAATATTACAACAAATAGAAGGAAGGAAGATCTTAAATAAATCTAACAAAAGGGGAACCGACGAATATAGAGAACTTAATAGGCAGATTAGAAAAGGAATCAGACAACAAAAAAGAAAAGAAAACGAAAAATTAATAACAACAACTATTGAAAAAAATAAGAGTATGAAATGCCTTAGACCGACACTAGGACGACGTCAGATGATATCATTAATGGGAAAAGACGAAAATGAAATCACAAGTAGAGAAAACATACTGATACGAATAGAAGAATTTTACACAGAACTTTACAGATCACATCAACAAGATGATAAGATGAGACCAGCACGGAAATTAATAAAAAATGTTGGATCAGAAATAATGCCAAAAGTAACAATTTCAGAGGTAACTACAGCACTGGAAAACATGAAGAGAAATAAAGCTGCAGGAGAAGATAGTATTACCACAGATATGATATTAGAAGGAGGTAAGGAACTAATTGCAATTGTAACTAAACTTGTGGACAGTTGTTTACATCAGGGCAAAGTCCCTAAGAGCTGAAACAACTCTAAAGTAATCTTATTACACAAGAAAGGTGATGGTCGAAAATTGGAAAACTACAGACCCATCAGCCTAATGTCACACCTGTTTAAAATACTCACCAAAGTCGTAACTACTCGACTAACAAGGAAATTAGATGAATACCAACCATATGAACAGGCAGGTTTTAGAAAAGGCTACTCAACTTCCGATCACCTGTTAACCACAAAAATATTAATAGAAAAATGTAACGAATACAAGTTTCCAGTTTTCCTAGCATTTGTAGACTACGAAAAAGCTTTCGATACCATAGAACACACGGCCGTAATAAACGCAATGCAAAATTGTAGAATAGATAGCAGATATATTAACTTAATAAAAGAAACTATGAACCAAGCTACAGCTACATACTACCTAAATGAAAATGAACACACGAACCCTGTACCATTAAACAGGGGGGTCAAACAGGGAGATACTTTATCACCCAAACTGTTCACCTTAGTTTTGGAGGACGTTTTTAAAAACCTAAAGACTTGAAGAGGCTTATGTTCAGATGTGGACGTGAATGGCTAGACGCAGAAGAAGAAGAAGAAGTACCAACATATGTTAAATTATTATTTAATAAAATATCTATAAGTTCCACGTATGTGTAATGTCACAGTTGCCTGTAACATTTCTATTACTGCCCAAGATCGGCTTGCAAAGCCGAACCACTGCTTGGGAGGTAATATAGAGCTTTTTTTCTGCGTTTTTTTTTAAATCCTCTAATGCATCAGATCCTTTTCCAGAATATATATAAGTGTTGTATACATAGTGGGTCGTCTGCTAAACATTGAATCTTTATTTCATACTTTTCGGGTTTACTAGGTATAGGTATACATTTTCAACCTACATCGCCCTCTAAAACCGACAAGCATTTCATCGAATGTAGTATTAGCACCTAGTACATAAGAATTTTAAGAATTTTGGTTGTATATCTTTAAAATGTGAGAAATTGCGGCAGCTGGATCAGTTTTAGCTCGATTCGCTCTTTCTTCTCGTGTATCAAATCGTAGGCATATTAGCAGTACAGCAAATCTACGTGCTGAGAATACCATTCTAAATATTTCTCTCCCCGTACCATCAGTAGCAAATAGTGCGTTGATGTCTTCATGGTTAGACTTGAAGACTGATGTCAATAACAGAAGGCCCAAAAATCCATTGATTTCTGTATTATTGGTGTCTCTAAATTCTGTGCGGTTGTGATTTCCGTCCTTCTCAACAACATCTCTGAAAAAATTTTACGCCACGACACCACTGGTTCCATCTGTGTCAAATATCTTTTGATAGTAGACAATCTCAATAAATTAGAAGCAGGTGTTAAAGATGTTAAAAACATCTTCATCAACGTCTGTTTGCCTTGCAATTTTTAGAAGGCTCAGATTAAAAGCAGAAATCTGAATTGTGTTTCGAAACTATTTTACGGATTTATTATCAGATGTCGCTATTGCGTCCATATTGAAGCCATTTTAGTGTTGCTTCTTAAAAGACAGAAAATATTGATTTTTCACGTTGAGAACGCCTATGAATAACTGTTCTGATGAGACCTATTAGGTCGAAATACGTATCAACAGATACATAGACGCTGTTTGCGTGAAATCAAATATTTGCTGTCTTTTTCATTTTATTCGGATCTACTCTGTACGAGTACAAGAAACCAATTCGCTAAGGATTTCTGCTTAGTTGAAAAGACATGTCGTGGAATGCAAATTTTAGATTCCCCATGTCTCTTTTAACATCTTCATCAACGTCTGTTTGCCTTGCAATTTTTAGAAGGCTCAGATTAAAAGCAGAAATCTGAATTGTGTTTCGAAAACTATTTTACGGATTTATATCTTTTAGTATATGCATGTAGGTTTTATATACTTTTTCCATACTTGTTTAAGCCCGTTTTTAAAATTTACTTGTGTCTTTCAGTTAAGTGTAACCAACTGTACTATATAGGGTTGTGCTTTTTTTTATTATCTGTTGCACCATGGTGCCTCTATGTAATTCACAGCTGTTTGACGTTGTCAAAAATCGTAATGAACTCCAATCAAGAATGTGCAAATTTAAATACAAAGCAAACTGCTACTTGACACAATATACGTCCATATAAATTATTGCCTTTTTAAGTGATTTCAATTTTAATTATTCAACAAATTCATGATAAACAATTTGTTGGCATTTAGGTTTTATCATATATGAAGTCATTCAAAATTCATATTGAGAACTAACTTAGGATTGGAAGAATTATATAACCAGTCAGATATAATAAAATAATAAAGGCAAAAAGATTAAGATGTCCTGGCTATGTCAAGATACAAGATCAGCGTATCGTGAAACTGGTTTGGGAAGAGAACCTGAAAAGAAAGAGACCGCTAGGAAGACGGAGGATGTATTGAATAGGTAATATTGCAGCTGATTTATGTGCTCTAAATATTGAACACGAACAATATAAGATATGCCGACGACACGGTGATCCTTGCCAGTACCATAGACGAATTACAACAAGTAATGGAAAGACAAAGACTAACCTCTTTTTTTTATGGAAAGACTTTATTCAGTTAGTGAGGAATACGGCCTGAGCCTCAACTTCAAGAAGACAAATGGATGCTGATAAGCAAAAAGCAACAACCTGCTCGACAATTACGGATAAGTAACATACTAATTGACCATGTAGAATCTTATGTGTACCTTGGCACCAACGTAAATGCAAAATGGGAACAGACCATAGAAATTAAGGCGAGAATAGAACGAGCTAGAGCAGCATTTAGCAATATGAAAAAGCTCCTCATAAGCAAGGATTTGTCTCTTCCCCTAAAACTACGTATAGTTAAATGCTACATTTTTCCGATCTTGCTGTATGGCGTGGAGGCCTGGACGCTGACGGAGACGCTAACTAGAAAACTAGAAGCATTCGAAATGTGGGTGTACCGACGCATTCTTCGTATATCCTGGACCGAACATGTCACCAACATAGAGGTACTCCAAAGAATCGGAAAGGAGAAAGAAATCGTGAATACAATTAAACAAAGAAAGCTTGAATATCTAGGCCACATATTGAGACACGATAAGTACCGTCTGCTACAATTGATTGTCCAGGGAAAAATAGACAGTAAGCGAGGGCCAGGCAGGAGAAGACACTCGTGGCTCCAAAATCTGCGGAAGTGGTTCGGGCTCACATCGGTCGAACTATTCAGAAGCGCCGCAAACAAGATCAAAATTGCCATGTTAATAGCCACACGTTTCGCAACGGACAGGGCACTTGAAAAGAAGAAGAAATATTGAACAAGCAGAGAAATTACTGGAGCTAAGTGGAGGCAGGTGGCCTCCTCGGGAACACTAGCATAATCTGATTGAGCTAACATTGTTGTTATAATGCAAATCATTTTTGTAAGAACTTTATTAATACCTTAAACAATACTGTGTATACAAATATTTAATGGCTTTTGGAGACATATCTATCTATCTATACAGCCCTTGCTGTTCAATTTTGGAAATAGACCCCCTCTTTCTTCTTCCACGTCTCTCTATTGTATCTCATTTGTGGCCTTCCTCTTTTTCGTTTGTAACTATATGGTCTTCAGTATATAATCATCTTATTCCATCTGTCGTCTTTCTGTCTTATGGTATGTCCAGCGAACTTCCACTTAAGTTTTGCTATCTGCGTTGATACATCGGTCACTTTTGTTTTGTTGCGGATCCAAGTATTTCTTTTCTTGTCTGATAGCCTGATGTTCAGCATTTGCCTTTCCATGGCTCTTTGGGTCTTTGCTATTTTTTCCATGTTTTCCTTTGTAAACGTCCGTTTGAGAACCGTAGGTGAGAACAGGAAGTATACATTGGTTGAAGACTCTTGTTTTGAAAACAAAAAGAAACAAGAGAGACATATATCAAAACAAAAATTCATATTTTGTGTTCATAGAAATTTACATACGGAAACGAATCGTTTAATTTTTAATACCGTTAACCATTTTCAAATGGATGTATGGTGTTCAAAAAACAATAAGAACATTATTATTATATTTAGTTGATTAACAAGTATTTCACAAAACAAATTCACATTTTTAATACTAAACACTTCTTTTTCAGAGTGGTGTCGATATCCTCGCGGAAAGTGTACGTGTTCGCAGGGCGTCGGTTATGCTCGGTTACATGAAACTGTGGAGGATACTTGGCGGGAAATACAAACCTACGATGAATTACCCTCAACCAGTAGGGAGCAATCCGTAAGTATACTTTTTTATTAAATAGGTGTTATGAGAATTGTTCGATGACCATATAGCCGAACCTACTGATGGCTTGAACTCAGGGAAAGTTCTCTTATTCCTGTAGAAGTCTCTTTTTACGATCCACAAAAAACTAAATTCTTGTACTTGGCTGTATACCATTATCATAATTATTTATCATCATCCAGCATTCATTTATCATGTCCACTACTGGACATAGGCCTTCCTTAAACTCCTCCATTCTACACTACACGATTTTGTGCTCTTTGTTGCCAATTTTTGGTGATACGTCTGATGTCGTCAGTCCAACGTGTATGTGATCTTCCTCTACTACGTTTGTCTGCTCTTGGCCTCCAATTTGTAATGATTCGTGCATTCTCGCTACATGGACTGCCCAGTTCCATTTCAGTTCCGATATGCGTTCAACAATACTAGCAATACTCCTTCTTCGCAGATCTTCGTTTCTTATTCGGTCCCGCAACGTCAATCCCAGCATAGACCGTTCCATTTGTCATTGTGTCACTCTTAATTTCGAAACCGTATCTTGGTTAGAGATATAGTTTTCGTTCATAGGTCATGACCTATTATTTCATGACTCAATTACGTATATTTTTTCCACCAGTTCTACCACTTTGTCTTGAATAGTTAAATAGTTATTGGGAAATATATTTGTCATAAACTTAGTTTTGGTCAAGTTCATTCTGAGGCCCACCTTCGAACATGCATAGTCCAATTCATTTAACATACTGTACCGGACAATGTCATCTGAGAAACGGAGATGGTTAATATTAAAAGTGAAACTGGAACAAACCATGAAGTGGAGATATCCAGGAGTGGCTAGTATACCTGTTGAATACAAAGCACGTGGTGGTCGTGTGTATTAAGGTATAAAAAAATGCTTATTAAAAGCTTAAAACTTTTATTTTAAAGAAGATCTTTTCGGAATAAACTCATTCCATCATCAGTTTAATAAAAAGTTGTCAAAAAAACATTGTATGGCCACGTGAAAACATAGTAGAGAACTCCGTATTAAAAAACTATCCTCAAGGTGTTTATGAAGGTAAATGCAATAGACTGTTGATTTGTAGATTACTAAAAACTGAAAATGGGGGCATCTTACATGACCCCCTGTAGTTGGTGAGGTTTTATTGACTTACTTTTTTGACAACTTTTTATTAAACTGATGATGGAATGATTCAATTCCGAAAAGATCTTCTTTAAAATAAAAGTTTTAAGCTTTTAATAAGCATTTTTTTATACCTTAATACACACGACCACCACGTGCTTGGAGATGGTTAAGCTTTTCGTATTGTTACTCCTATGTGGTTCCAATTGACCATCTTAAAGGCATACTCTAATGCCGTTATGAATAATTTCGGTGACAATGTATCTTCCTGCCTTATCCCACGTTTTATTTTTATAGGTCGGCTTTATATCATGTACACAAAAAATTTTTATTAAAAAAATTCTTTTATAAAAGGTATATTAATATAAAAACCCTATCGAGCTATATCTCAGAACGCTTTAGGAATAACTATTGCATCATCACGCTACTTATCTTGAATAGACCACGTGTCACATCAGGTTAGTAATGGAGTGTCAGGAGTCACTAACTCAGGCATAGGATGGTAATACAATCATTCTGAGGTGGGTTAAAGGACACAATAGGAATAAAGGCAACCGCATTGCTAACCAATTGGCTAGGAAGGCGGCAGCCCTAAGACTCTTAGGACCTGGAGATCTTTTTGGTTGGTCAACTACAACAATCGCGGAAATTGTCAAATATCACTCCCATACGCAAACCGTAAAAAGATGGGAAGACGGGCAAGCATGTAAACTTGCCAGGGTAACACTAAGTAACCTTGAAGAGTCAGCATCAAAGAAGTACTTGGGAATGACCAGGAAAAACCTACGCTTGACAATTGGTTTTTAACTGGTCATTGTCAACTAAGCAAACACCTCCACACACTGGGCTAGCAGACACTCCTCTATGTAGAAAGTGTGAACGAGAAGACGAAACTGTGGAGCATGTCCTATGTGAATGCCCGAAGTTATCGTTAATACGAGAGTACGCGTTCGGCGAGTCCTGTCCCACACCTGCCCACATAAGGGAGATGTCTCCTGGTGACTTGTCTACCTTCCTAGAAATGGCAGGATGGACAATGAGCTAAGGGCGACAGCTCCCTGGGAAGATGCACAATGGGTCAATTGTGGCCTAAGTGCTATAAAACTTAACTCGCTCATATCTTATCTCTACTCTACAGATACAGATGCAGAACTATTCCATCATCGATCCTATCTGGATTTACATGTTCCTCTTCTTTTGTCAACCATTTTACGTCCACTACTGAATCTAGATCTCTTCCAATTGCTTCCATCTTTCTCTATCTTGCGCCAATCTAATCCACAGTTTGCCCGCCACTGCTCTTATGACATCTACTCATCTTTTTTGAGGTCTTCCCATGCTTCTTGTTGTCGTCCTTGGTCTCCATTCTAGAATTCTCCGTGTTCACCTATTGTCATTATATCGGGCTACGTGACTTGCCCAGCGCCATTTCATTTTGTACTTCTTATCTCGGTGTTTCTAATCTTTTCATGTTTGAAACCACTAAATGTGTGGGTAAAAACCCTTTAAATGTAGTTAGATTAAATCTAGATAGATTGGTCAAATGGTAACGTAGGACTCCACTGGGGTTCCTAGTCCTTAGACGAAGTGTCTGGGAGGACTTATTGATAAAATCCAGATAGCATTGATGATGGAATAGTTATTCCGAAAACATGATGTAGCTCGAGGGGGTTTTTATATTATTATACATTTTATAAAGAAAGCTTCTTTTTACGTTAAATATGTCAGTGAAGAGCAATCTGTTGATTTTAAGTTTTTTTTTTATAAACAATCGAAAAAATTGAGTTAAAAGCAGTGACGAAGTTCTTTCTTTATAAAAGTTTAACTCCCACTGACAATTCGTTTGATCTCAGTTCCACCTATAGAGATTTTAGCAAGAATTCGCTGAGTTCTCACATCACCTTACTACGCATGAAATAAATAAGAGTCCTATTAAAAATTTTTCCATCCATACTCGTGGGAGACTACATTTTATCAGGACTTCACTTTTATGTGACTTCGTGAAATTTAGTCTACTGTCGAGGTGGACTCCTAGAAGTAAACTTGACTAATGTTTCTGTGTGTATGACGTTTCCTCTCATCGTAAGGTCGACTACTGGTGGGCTGGTTTGCTGTGTGAAGAAGATGAATAGTATATTCTCAGCATTTATCTTGATTGTCCTTCTGTCCGTGAATTCTGAAATCCTATCCAACTGGTTTTCTAACGTCTGGACGATCCTTTTTATCTCTTTTTCTGATGTGTAGATTACCGTGTCGTCTGCATGTAGTGCTGTATTTGTTCTTACATCTGTTGGTAGGTCTGAAACAAAAATATTTTATAAAATGGGCGATAGGATACTACCCTCAGACATTCCTTATTGAACATCTTGCATCCTGGACGTCTTTTGGTTAGCTGAAACTTGAGAAGTTCTATATATGAGCCACATATATTAACTAAATAATGCTAGGCAATCTAGCTCTGTCCATCTTGTGAATGAGGGCTTTCTTCCAGACTGTCGTACGCCTTTTCGATGTTGAGGATGGCCAGTCCGGTTTTCTGGTTTCTGTTGAAGCGTATCTTCGTATAGCTGACAACTCTTGCGAGCTGTAGTTCGAAGTTTCTTTCACTTCTGAGTCCAAATTAGTCTTCTTGGAAGATTCTTCCTCTTTCTGCATGCTTCATCAGTCTTCTGTAGATGATCTTCTCCAAAAAAAATGTTTCTATTGACTCCAGGAGCGATATTGGTCTGTAGTTTTCTGGTCTTTTACCGTCAGTCCTTGGTTTTTAGTAGAACGATGATTTTTGCATGTGTCCAGTTGTTCGGAAAATGAGCTTTTTCTAGGCAGAGTCTAAAAATGTAGTGTAGTTGCACTATCATTTTCTTCGGCAGTTTTTTGAGTGCGATGTTTGTGGATGTCTTCCGTTCCTGGTGCTCTGTTTCCTTTTAGTCTTCTGATGATTTTAGCAATTTCTGTTGGATATAGGTGATCTTCTTCCTCTACTAAAAATTCGTTCCTTCTTATTATTTCGTAGCGTTGTTGACTTCTTGTTTGGTTGCTTCATCCAACATATTTTGATTTTGCCTATGTGTTTCTGCCATTCTTCTTGCGATTGCATCCACTTTATGTTGTGGTCGTGGTCGCGACTTGTGTATGTATTTCCTACTCAAAGTTTTGGATGACTCAACTGAGCGTAGCAAGCGACGTCTAGCTTTCTTATTAGTGGTTAAATTTTAATGAATATATTAACACAAATTTCAAATCTTTCTTTCGGATTTAAAAAGATTTCATATAGAAAAAAAATATTGGTGTAGTTATAGTTGTCTTATGTTATCATAAGTTCATTACTTTTTGATTCATATTGATTTATTTTTTCTAGGAGGAATTGGCTTTTTTCAACGACAACGAAAGTTTTCAGTTAGTAGTGGTAGAAAGAAACTTGTGTGCTAGTGATTTGTGTCAACTTTTAGCTTTGAAAAACAGGACGGCAAAAAGTGTGCATTGGAGTATTATCGAACAGTGGAATGATCTAGGACTTGGTAAGTAGAGACGTATTGTAAGACGATTTTGCTAATAAGATAAAGATATGGAGTCAAACTAGGTAGTTACTCTGTCAGTTAGACTATCTGTATTATCACTAAGTTATTATAGACAGAATATGCTATTAACGAAAGCTTTTACTTTATGATCCTACTGTGAACTTCTGAACTTTTGTCAGTAATATTGTTTCAAGCTGAATTTCGTAAATGGCTCTCTTTGTTTCTTCCACTTTGATTCGTACTACGTTCTATCTCTCTGAATTGTGTGTTGACTTTAATTATCATTTGGTTTTATGCTAACCGTGGATACCGTTTTCCAATACGACTTACGTAATATCTTATATATCCGTGTCCTAATTCTACTTTTCTTATTTCAATATTCATGTTATTACAACAATTTGGGATACCTAGTTTTTTATCGTTTGTGATAAGCTTTGCTAGATGTTAGCATTGGAAAGCTCTTTTTTTGTCGCCTAATACGACATGTATAGATTATTTTAAAAATTGTGTCGATGTCCACACAGAAAAATAGTTATAGACCTTTCGGACTACACGTATAACGTTTTGCGTTTAACAGGGTTACCGTACGAAGTAGTTTTTCACCACGTATTAATAGTCCAGGGTAATAAGGTTTTTGCCCATTTATTCCGCAGAACTGTTTGCAATATATCAAGATCTGAAATGGACTATTGAGAAGAAAATGTCTGATCAACAAAAAGTAATCCTGTCAGATTCAAAATTTGCGCTGTTTGCTTTAGATAATTTGCATTGGCAGTTATACAAAAACAGTATTATCGTCAAAATTTTAGAAAATCAACTAAAGATACTTGAAAGAAATAATCCAGTCTCTTTCATTTGGGTAAAAAGATATGCTGGTATCTCGGGTAATACCAAAGCATATTAATTTTGCTAAAGAAACGGCTTCAAAAAGATTAGAAATTAGTTGGCTCAACAGAAGTGATTTAATCTCGCTGCTTAAACAAGAATTAGGACTGGGAAGTTTTTTTTTGGCTTAGACTTATCATCATACAGCCAGACGCAAATGGAATAAGATAGACATTCTCCTTGCCTAGGGACCTATCAAGGCATTGATTTATATAAGACACGACAACAGTAGGTCACGGAAAGGAGGAAGTTATACATATGGGTTAAAACAAAGGTAACTGGAAAATTGAAAGGAACGCCTTCTGTAACAGAACTTAAAACTGTTAATTATGCTAATGTGACATAAAATCTGATAAAAGAACAAATACCTCTTCCTCAGAGTCAATCTTCTCTTCTGTTTTATACAACCCTCGTCATAATATTAGGCTTAACCAAATTTTTTGGGGATATTTAAAAGCTAAAAGAAAAAATTAGGATGGAACGTGTAATGTGAATGTATAAATCTAGCTTTGTTCCCTCTGTCCATCCTTCTTCTTCTTCTTGATGTGTCTATACGTTACGAATGTTCGCGATCATCATAGCAATCTTTATCTTATCTGCAGCAGCGCAGAAAAGCTGCACAGATGTTGTATTAAACCAGATTCTGAGGTTCTTTAACCAATATGTTCTTCTTCCTGGACCTCTCTTTACAAATATATAGAATGTAGAAATCTTTTCTTTTCCATGCTCAACCATTTTACATGTTTTAATTTGTGAGACATAGGCTGGTGTCTTCTGACACCACAGATCAGACGAAGACACGAATTTTGAATCACCTGAATTCTTCTCCTGTCATCTGAACTAATACAAGGCCCATACACAACATCTCCATAGTTAAATTTTGATAATACTAAACTTTCGCACAGTATTCTTTTTACTTTGTATGACAGATAGGCGCGATTATGATAAATTGTTCTTAGACTGAGAAATGCTTTACTCACACAGGTGTTAATATGCTTTGTAAATTTGAGGTGATTATCTAAGTTAAACCTAGATTTTTTGCACTAGTTACAGGTTTAATGATTTCATTATCAACAACTATTTCAATGATGTTACTCATCTCCAAACACACCCTGTTTGGACCAAAAACCACCAGATTAGTTTTTTTAGAGTTTATATTTAATGCATGATTTCTTGCCCAAGCAATCACTGATTTAATATCTTGATTAACAATCTCGATAGCACTTGCTCTGTCAACCGGTTAAAATAAGTGGTAAATTTGTGTATCATCTGCATAGAGATGAAATTTACAGTATTCAAGGAGGTACCAATATTGGTGGTGTATAAAATAAGATTGGACCTAATTACTTTCGTCTACTTTGACGCTCTGTTTTCTGTGATGCAAGTACGACTTAACCATACTCAATGCATCCATGGAAAAGCCGATTGACTTCAAAATTGCACATAGTAGTGAATGATTGAGAGTGTCGAATGCCTTAGAGAAATCGATCAAAACTAAAATGGTAACCTTACCCACATCTCTTTCTCTCAAAATGTCATCAGTTATTTTAAGAAGTGAGTGCTGTTTCACAGTTGTGAAATGGCCTAAACCCGGACTGAAAATCGGTTAAGATATTATTGTTAGAAATATAATCGCCAAGCTGCATTTGCATAATGCGTTCTAGCACTTTTGATAGAGTAGGCAGAATACTAATAGGTCTAAGATCCTTATATTCGGTTGGATTGTTACATTTAGTTATGGGTCTAATTAATGCTTTTTTCCATTCATCTGGAAAAAAGTTACTCGAGAGGCAACAATTCATTATATGCGTTAAATAAGGAATGATTAATGGGCAACATTGAAGTAACATTTTTAAGTTTAAACCGTCTGAACCTAGAGCATTAGATTTAATAGTATATAACAATTTTTGCACTAGATCACAAGATACTGGAGTAAAGGTGAATTTTTCTGGATTAGGTATAGTATTTAAATAATTGTCAAATGTATTTTGATTGATTGTTAGATGTGGGATGCATGATGTGTTCTTCTTCTTAGAGTGCCGTCTCCCTACGGAGGTTGGCAATCATAATGACTATTTTTATTTTAGAACTTGCTGCTCTAACAAATCAATCGATCTGCATTGGTACCAATCACGTAGATTCTTTAACATGAGTTACTGCCTTCGGCCAACAGATCTTCTTCCTTGAATCTTTCCCTGTATTATCAGTCTCAAAATTTCATATTTTGGTCCCCTCATCACGTGGCCTAGGTATTCCAGTTTTCTGGTTTATATAGTGGTGATTAGTTCTGTTTCTTTACCAACCCTCTCCAGTACTTCTTTATTTGTAATTCTATCAGTCCATGATATTTTCAATAATCTGCGGGCATGATGTGTAGTACTGATTAATCTCATAGGGTTCTTTTAATGTTTTTGGAATTGCATGTTCATTCTTACCAATATTAATGAGTTGTAAATTTTTCCAAGTATTTTTTATCCCACCCATTTTATGAAGTTTGTGTTGAAAGAAAGCTTTTTTTCATTCTCACGTGCTAATGTTGTATAATTTTTATTCATTTTGTAGTAGGTGAGCTACGTCCTTAGTTTTCTGCCACTTTTTTTAGCTTGATCTCTTAGTGACATAAGATGTTTTACATTATCTGTTAGCCAAGGATTATAATTTTTAGTGACTTTAATCTTTTTAAAGAGCATGTTTGTCGAAGAGAGCCACAATGAAGCTGCTTAAGAATTTTACTTTGTCATTGATGTTTTCAACGTGATAGGTGTTGGCAAACAGGGTACAGTTTAAATCAAGTAAAACAAGATTTGCATCAAATTATTGCGTGAAATTTCTAACAGTCTTAAAAATAGCGGCTGGTTTTTCTGGGAAGATATTGACGTCACAATAAATAAGCTCATAGTCTGTTATGTGGTCAAGAGAACATACACCAAAGGAGTTAATTCTATTTTCGATTGAGACAATTATATATAATCAGAGTCTGCGATGTAATGGTTATATGAGTTCGCCCATCAATAATCTGTACCAAATTAAAACTGCCAAGTAAGTCATTAATTTTATGAGCTGGATTCAGATGTGGATTGAGTAAGTCAACATTAAAATCACCCAAACAAAAAATTTCATATCAGCAAGAGATTTTTCAAAAAATTAATTATGTAGTCTGGTGGTTTATAGACTACACCTATACCTACCAACAAGTCATTAACTTTTAGTTTGACCCACACTTGTTCTATGTGATTGTCAAATTTAACTTCCTCCACCTCGACAGTTTGCTGTTTTGTCTTGACGAATTAAATTGTTTCCTTTTTTTATAGTTATGTTTATTTACAATCTACATCATAAAAAGAGTATTAAGTAAATGTGATACAGGTTTTGCGCGTGAAGGGGAGCCATCCAATATTCTATTTTTGGTTTAGTTCTGAAGAAGGTCTTGCGGCCAGGTTCTATGTAGTCTTCTTGTGGCTGGTCCATTGTTTATAATTCCCTTACTAGCTCATTTTCGTGGTGAATGGTACGTTCATTTTGTGACTCCGAGGCTCGATGGATTTCTTCTCTGATGAAAGGAACCTTTAAGTCATAGTGAGTGTTTGGTTACGTACCATGGCGCATCCACTATCGATCTTAGTACTTACTGGAATCTTTGGATAATATTCAGCGACGTTGGCTTTGCACAGCCCCATAGGTGTATTCCTTAGAACCAGATAGGTTTGAGCATGGCTTTGTATAGAAAAATTTTGTTTTGGATGTTAAGTTTTGATTTACATCCAAGAAGCCAATACATTTGCCAGAATTTTAAGTCGAGCTGCCTTGTTTTGGTCTGGATATGTTTCTTCCAAGTGAGACGTTGGTCAAGATGGAGGCCAAGGTATTTAGCGTCTGTTACTGTTGATATTCTTACATTTTCCATCCTTACATATATTGTGGGGCATATATTGTGACAGCTGGGCATATATTGTGACGGTTGGTTAATATTTGAGTTGATTTTGTTTTATTTACTTTTGTTCTCCATTTCGTATACCAATCACTGAGTATGTTCAGATGATGTTGCAGGTTTTGTGAGGCTTGTATGGGATCTTCATTTACGGCTAGTATTGCTACGTCGTCAGCAAAGGAAGCGA